TATACTATATACTATACATATCAGTAGCGCTTAAAAGATCAGAATAAATTTATACTTAGAAAATATTCATACTCTGGCTGATTTTCACTAGCCTCGAAAAAAAGGCTTTTTTCAAAAAAAAATATGACTAATAAAATAGGTCAATTATAAATGTTATGTTTAAAAATTGATTTCCATCAGCTCAGTAAACGCGCCATTTTTGATGATTTTTTCTAACAAAAAATTATTCGTCTAAACTCATAAGGTTACGTAAATGTTCTTTTTTTAATGTTTGTTAATTGGTATATCGATACCCAAAAAAAAATGATGAAATAAGACGAATAATGCTGGTTCAGACTCGAATGTATGCCTGTCGGTCTCGTTACTCAGATCTCTTAGTCACTTTTTTATCGTGGACGGCTGTACAAACATGTCCGCTTACCTCTATCGTACATGCGACAAGAAACTTGGTGCTATCATATGTTTTAATCGATAGTAGTATGGCTGGTGTGACTTTGACCAAAAAATAATAATTTGGAAAAAGATATAATTAGTTCAGTCCCATTTCGCAGTAGTGTTTAATCCTGTGGGTAATACACTTTAAAATTACCAAACTMTAAATCCAGGGATTCAATCAAATCGTTTGAAGAACGAACCTTCTTAATTTGAAGATTTGCAGAATAAAAAAAAATAAAAAGTTCCGTGGGAAAATATTTTATGCGGTCTCATTATTCTCTTGAACRGCTGCTCTCTTGAAATGCCTGCCAAGAAAAAAAATGGGAGTCATGAGTCCGGACAACTATGTGCGGTATAAAAGAAAACAACGTAAGAAAAAGACAATTCAAAGAGTAGAAACGTTAACATTTCAACGTCGGAACCACTCTTTTAGAGTGCAAAAATGTGAGAATAGAAATATGTCCATAATCTTTCATTTTTGTATTTGTATTTCGAGATAGACACACCATTGTACTCCACCACTACATTTTCATGGCTAGAATTTCCTTTTGTAGYTCTTTAAGGGATTTCTCCACACTAGTCCTGACCAGCTATGATCGAGTTTGCATGGCTTGGCGTCTGCGTAGGAGGGGGAGTCTGTCTATATCTTTTTTTGTATCGACAACACCGTGATAGAAGAGTTTATCTGCGCTATTCTTCAATGGAACAATGTTGTCTTTTTTTCGGAAATACCAGGAATAAAATCACGTTAGTATAAAATMGACTTACCATATAGTTTCTGATTTTTTTTTGATATGATAAATAAATTTTGGCATATCGATTTATGCGAAATGAGCCGTGTACAGCTGCATGTTGGTCATAATCATTGTTAACTATTCTCATCGCTCGTCTGTTTTATTGGAAACAGTCTTTAAATGCTTTTATTTGGAATTCATTGCTCACTTTACTTTTACTGCAAGTGATGTAGCATATAGCTCTCCCATTGAAGTTTCCCGTAGATTTTTACACGGTATGATAGTCTCGATTGGCACAGTCGGGCATTCCTGTTGGTCCTACGGTCAAATAGCCTG